CCCCCCCCCGCCCCCATTCCCTCCCCCGCCAACTCCCGGTCTGGGCCACACCTTGCGGTCAATCCGCACCGTGAAGACTCGCCCGTCTCTCAGGGGCTCCCGGCTCAGCACCAGCCCATGGTTGAACTCCTGGCCCGGCTGCTGCCTCCGCGCCGTGCGGCCGCCCCCGGACAGACTCACCAGCCGTCCAGTGCGCGGGTGCAGCTCCCCGCCGCCTCCTCCTCCTCCTCCTCCACCGCCGCCGCCGCCGCCGCCGCCACCACCACCGACCGCCCCGGCCCCCGGCCCCCCCCCCGCCCCCGCCGCCATCCCCTGCGCCGCCGCCGCCCGCTCAGAAGCTGACACCGGGGCCTGCGCGACAGCTGCGCTTATCGGCAGCCTGGCAACCCAGACCGGTAACGCGAAGGGGAAGGAGGGAAGGTGGTGGTTTTGCTTTACGGCACTGCCGGCCACTTAGGTCGGCCCCGCCCACTGGAGGTGAAGCTGAGCTGGGGTAGCAGGGAGAAGGAACCGGATCGAAAATAAATGGCACTGTAGGAGGGGAGGGGGCAACCGAAACGCGAGGACTACAGTCGCGGAGTTTGCTTTACGGCACGGTGGGGCAGTCGCTTTGCGACAGTGGAGTGGCGTAAGATGCCGCTTTCACAACTCTCGCTTAGGCATTGTCGCTTTATGGCAGAGGGGCCCGAGCCTCGGCAGTACCGTTGTTTCGAGGCCATGGAACAGACCGACTGCTGGTGACTTGGGGGTAAAGGAGGACATGGAGACGCCTCCATGTTTGCTTTATAGCAGAGAGGTTTCTCGTGTGGCCCAGCCCCCAACCCTACGACACAACAGCAAGCATCTGTTATTAATTCCAAGCCCCAACGTGTCAGCAACACGGAAAACTGTTGCCTAGCAACACAAAAGACAAGCGATTGCTTTACGTCAGAACAGTCGTATGTCAACTTACTTTACGATAGCTGGGAAGCACCTTACGGAGAGCTCCTGTGGTGCATTCACCGCCTCACACCCCACCCCCCAACTTCCCGCCTCCCGTTATAAGGCAAAGAAGTAACAATTCCTTACCAAAGGCAGTGGCTATCTAAGTGTAATCAAGCAGCCTTTTGCGTTACGGCAACGAGGCCCCCATGTTGTGCTGTCTTCTCTTTCCTGTGCCAGGTGAAGCCTCGGCCTTTTACGGCTTCACTCGAGGAGCTCTTCCCCAGCTATTGCACTGGCATCTGGGACACCCTCTTTGCTGTGCAACGATTGTCTGAAGTTACCTGCTGCCTTGCAACAGTCGCTTCTATGCAGTGTGGCGGATACATTTCCTTAAATTACCTGTCCTAGTCTAGTCCCAGATCCACGAAAATTCCCATCTCTCCATGTCCAGAATCTCCTTTCTTAGACCTTCGACCGAGAATGGGATTAAAGATTAAAGTGTTTCAGAATGAAGTAAGGCATTGTAAACTGTCACGGTAGCTATAGCAACGGATAACCAAAAACTTGGACTTGAAGCTGCCTAAGAATTATAACTAGGGGGGGCCTTTGAACTCATCAAGTCCAACCTTCACCATTCCTACACTCCAATCTAATTTTTTTTTTTTAATAACGAAGAAACTGAAGCTGGGAAAGGGGAAATGACCAATGTTAGTTCCATCGAGACTAACGTTAGGAGCCCCCAAATATGTTTAATCTCACGGACAACTCAAGGGAAGAACTTAAACCTCTACTTCTTAACGAAAAATCCAAGCATCCCCTTTCTCCCTATCAACCTCACTCCTCACTGGCTAGGCAGACATTTGTGTGACGTCATAATGACGAAAGCCCACCTCCCCAGGTCCAAGCTCTGTAATTGGCCAGGTTGGGTACGGGGGGCAGGGAGGGAGACACAGAAAAGGAGTGCTGGGGGGGCTGAAGGAGGGGGCGGCAGGGAAACGAGCTGAGCCCCGGGACTCCCACACTAGAACCGTGACTCCGCCCACCTCCACTCCCCCGGTGGGAGGGGCGAGGGGGCAAGAGGAAAGAGCGGCCTCAGGGGAGAGCGAAGAGGAAGGGGGAGTGGAGTGCGGATTTCCCCCAGCTGGCTGCGGTGGGGGCGGGGCCGCGGGGGTGGGGCTATGTGGGGCGGAGGGGCGGGGCGGGGCAGCTGAGGGCGGCCCCGGGTTCGAGGAGGGGCAAGATGGAGAAGCAGGATGCTGTAGGGGCCACCGCAGGGGGTGGCGCGGGGTCTGGGGGCGGCAGCATGCAAGGGACAGCGGCCGGCCTTCAGGATGGGGCTGCCGCTGGTCTGCGCTTGGCCGGCACTAGCTTGCACTGCGCGGGGCTCAGCCCACTCCCAGCCTCCAGCTCCACTGATGAGCGACCCCGGGGCATCCTGAAGAACACCAGCTCCATCCTGGTGCAGAGAGTCCCCTGTGGGGAGAAGTAAGGGGGCAGGCGGGAGGAAGAAAGAGAGAGCTAGGGAATCCCTGAGGTCGGCTCGGGCCACGTGGGGGGAGGGGGCGACTCTCCTGAGGACTCCTGGAAGACAAGGACTAAGGAGTGAGGGAAGTGAAGGATCATGGGATTTAGAGCTGGAAAGGAAGGGACTTTAGACATCTAGTCCAACTTCAGTTGAAAAAATTGACACAAAAAGCTTAACTTGCCCAAGCTGTCAGTTTGGGACTTAGAATTCTTTGTACCAGAAAGCACTTCCTCAGCCTAGAGTTCCCCAGGTCTCCCAGGAGCTGACAGGGGAAACGGGGCACAGAAGTTCTGGAGGGGAGGTCTCAGGATGCCCTTCTGCATGACTCTTCCAAACCAGGAAGAAGTCCCAACACCGGGACGAGATGAATATTTTGGCCACATACCATCCATTGGTCAAGGACAACGGACTCATGAAGGTGGATGAGCCCAGCACACCCTACCACAGGTCACATGCAAAACACAGGTCCCCATGCATCAAGTACATGGAAAGCAGTAACATGGAAACACAGACCTTGGCTGTGATTGGCCTTACACCACCCTTCCCCCCTGGGTCCCCTCCTGCCCCTAGGGCAGACTGCAGACCCCAGCCAGTTACCAGAAGTTGGGGGAGGGTTATTCTGGATGGATGGATGCTTGTTTGTCCTCAAGGGCACTCACCTCTCTTCCCTGCCACACCCCACATCCTTAGGCTGGAAGACAGTGATGAGGATCTGAGAGCAGGAACTTCACAGGCAGTGTCACCAGAAGCGCTTGCTGAGAGGTGGGGGCTCCCTGGCCTCAGTTCTCCTTGATGAAGGACCCAGGCCAGTCTGGCCAGCACCCAATCTTTGGGTCCATTGGGTCTCCCTTCAGGGACCCATATAATGGAAGAAACTATGACTCCCATCAGGCTCTGACATAAAGAAGTTGCCCTTGAGAGATATTGGGAGTTGTAGATTTCTCTCCCCATTGGGAGGCCCTCTGTCACCACCATCCCCATCCCCCTTCCCTTCTTCCAGATCCCCCAGCCCCCTCTTCCCCCCTCCCCCAGGCTTGCATCATTGGATAGTTTTTGCCCCAAAGTTCTTCAGTTTGGAGATAACAAGAACACAGGCTGCGAGGACAAGTTAACATCTAAAAAAAGTGAGATTTTTCAGGCAAGGGTTGGGGCAGGGGTTGTGAGACTGAACTACTGGCCCCAAGGCCTTGGTTCTGTCCCATTCCACAGTGCAGAAAGATTTTGAGTGGCATCGTAAGGCTCGCTATGATGAGGGGAAGTACCTCAAAGCTCAGAAACTAGCTGCACAGGATGGCGAAGAGGAGCCCCCAGGTAAGTTAGTTCTCTCTAGGTCGCCCAAGAAAACATTTGGCCTATTTACGCTTTATGGAAGGATCATAAATCCAAACTACATTCCCAATATTTGTAGGGGTGAGTAGGAAGGAAAGACAGGAGAGGGCTATTAAAAGTAAGGGAGGAAGTAGGGTAAGAGATGGGTGAGATTAACCAAGAACTGCAATATAGTAGCAATCTTAGAGGCTAGCCAGCCTTGGTGTTCGTCTCAAGGACTCATGGGAGTTGTTCATCATCCCTCACTTCTTGACGACACCCCCACCCCAGGAGAAAAGACAAGCAGGATCTGTAGTTAAGAGAAATTCTGTATATCCACAATCTCATCCTGGTGAGGGGGCCCATGACACTACCTTTCCTTAAGAGATCTCAATGTGACTCTCTGTGATATAGCTAGTCTTGGGTCCAAGTTTCAGTCTCTGAAGGCAGAGGAGAAGGTGGAGGTGGGGGGGTATTAGAATATCCCAAATGAGATAGAGGAAATGGAGATGGCAAGTGGGGAGGGCAGGAAGTTGGAACTGCATGGGAATGGAGCTACAGGACCCATTCATACAATTGCATACTCCAACTCCCTGCTACTTAGGAATTGCTTGAGCATGTATATATTGAGGATCATTATTATTCCCCTTCTACCCACATACCCTACCCACAAAGATTAGGTTCTCCCATAAAGCTCTGTGGGGAAGAGATTCTGGGCAGAAAAAGGGGCCTAATGTTCTGTATCCCCTCCAGGGTAGAGGAGCCAAGTAGTGGAAGGGAATAAGGACGTGGGGGGGGGAGGTGGGACAGACTTCCCAATTTAGAGGGACAGAAGCAACAACGGGGAGAAAGGTTGCACTGAAGGTTGGTGTGAACATCATAAAATGGGGGAAGCAAATGAAACTATTGTTGTTGTTCAGCCCTGTCTGACTCTTCATGACCCTCTTTGGGATTTTCTTGGTAAAGATACTGGAGTGGTTTGCCATTTCCTTCTCCAATTCATTTGGCAGATAAGAAACTGAGGCAAACAGGGTGAAATGACTTGCTCAAGGTCACGCAGCTAGTAAGTGTCTGAAGTCAGATTTGAACTTAGAAAGATGACTTCAAGCCTGGCACTCTATTGTACTATTTAGCTGCCCCTAAATGAGACTAGATGAGTTATTTAAGTCTTAAGACTTGGAACCTCCCAGAGTGGGAGGTGGGCAGTGAGTAGACTATATCTCACAAGGAAAGGGAGGAGTGGCCAGGAAGTTCTACTTAACCTAAGAAAGAATCCTTCGATACCCCTGATTTGGGGGGGGGGGGGAAGCATGCCTTGCCCCAGCCCCCACCAAAGCAGGGGTTTGATTGCCAGCAGAAGGAATATTACAACAAAGGAACATATCTAAAGGTGGCAATACCCACAGATCTGGAAGAGGATGCAAAGAGCAGAAAGATGGCGAGGCAGCCCTGAATTGTGGGAGGAGCAGTGGAATGAGAGTCAGGAGGATAAAGAATTTTTAGTACCAGCTCTAGCACTGACTTGCTCTGTGTGTGACCTTCAAGTCCATTTTGTAATCTGGGCCTCAATTTTGTCATATATAAAAAATTAAAAGGTTGGACTTAATGTGGCCTGTGAGGTCTCTTCTACCTGTAATATTTTATAATTGTTATGGCTAGGGTGGGGGTGGGGAGGTTCTTTCACTGTATGTATATATGGGGAAAGTAGGTTTTGGGGCCAAGTGATAACTAACTGGAGTGGAAGGTGGAGATATTGACTTAGGGGGTCAGGTGACTGCCTTCCAATATTTGACCCCCAGGGTCCTTACAGGTACCTCTGGATTGACCTGGGTGATAGAGAAGCCCCTGACCTCCCAGGGAGTCCATCTGCTTGGTCTTGCTGGACAAGCACCCAATGGAGAACAGAAGGCTACAGAGAAGCCTCTGACTATCACTATAACACAGTCTCAGGCTGGTGAGGGGGCCTATGACACTACCTTTCCCCAGGAGATCTCAGTGTGACTCCCTGTGCTCTCAAATCCCTATACTTTCCAAGATTCCCCACCCCCGATGCCCATTGCTACTTTCTACCCCAGCCCCCTTCCTACTAAGTTCTTTCCTGATATCCATTTGACGAATGTTTCCTGTTCTCACAACCACCATACACACACACACACACACACACACACACACACACACACACACATTTGTAGGTGGGTAGAGTGCCTACCAAGTAGGCCTGGAATCAGAAAGACCTGAGTTCAGATTTGGCCTCAGACACTAGCTGTGTGACCCTGGGCAAGTCACTTGATCTCTGTTTGCCTCTGTTTTCTCAACTTTGAAATGGGAATAACAGCTCTCAGAGCTGTTGAGGGCATCAAATGAGATATATGAAAAGTGCTTAGTACAGTGCCTGGCACATAGTAGGTACTATATAAAATGCTTATTCCCTTCCCCTTCCCTTGGCAAGATTCAACAATGCCTTTAGTGAGTTATTTGGGAGTCTTTGATTTTTCCCTTTGACACAAACATTTGATGATACAAAAATAATCTAAGGAACATGTAGATTGGGGGTTCTGCCATTAAAAATGTAGGCATTTATAAAAAATCATTTTAAAATGTCCCTTGGTTTCTACCCCCCTTCCCTTATCCTCCACCTAACAGGGATGTGTATTACATTTCTTAGTTTAAAAAAAAGATAATTTTTCCAAAATAATTTGATAGATCGGAGCACAAATGCCAGCTGTGTTTTAATCTTAGAACATGGAAATCATATGCTACATTCCACTCCCTACTCCATTCCCCAACTGTTTTGCCCTAGACATCTTGCCTACTTTTAGTCCCAACTCTGTTCCTTCTCCCACCCAAGAATCCTTCCCAGACCCTCCCAATTACCCTATTCCAGATCCTTCTAGATTCCACCTCCTCCCCTTTCCCTTCCCGCAGCCCAGGGAACTCAAAGTCTGATTCCTCCCCGCCAACTTTCCAGGCACAGCCCTAACACAGAAGCACAGTGGGTCCCCTGTGATGTCGAGCTGGTGTCACTGGCTGGTAACCAAGGAACTGAGCTGGAAGAGACCAGAGATTCCAGACAAAGATGCTGGGGAAAGTCAGGGGGCCCCGGGAGGGCCTGAACGAAGGCGTGAGTCATAGGGCGGTGTTGGGCCTGGGATATACTGGGAGGCAGAAGGGGAGCTAAGGCTGGAAGTGGGAGGTCACAGTTAAATTGGGGTGGGGGCACTGGGTGACTTCTCACTGCATAAGAACCCCTCCCACCCCAATGTGTATATGATATGAAAGTGCCTTATAAAACAGGAAACAGAAAAAAGATGGTGTCTTCACTGTAAGCGTCATTACTGTGAGTTTGTGGAAAGAGCAAGAAAACGCAGGTTTGAGTCCCAGGATGGTATCTCCCTAGCTGTAGGCCTTTGGATAAGTTCCTTCACTTCTTGGGCCTCAATTTCTCCACTTGTAAAAGGAGAATAATTGTATACTACCTATCATACTGTGACAAAATAAATAACACAAGTATAAGTGCCTTATGAGAATAATGGAGCTCTCTAAAAATGCAACATTATTCAAAATAACAATAGAAAGGGGTGAAGATGGGAGCTTCCTTCTCCCTTTCATACCTTGGGAGTCATTCTGTTTAGTAATATAGGTATTCCCATTGCTTCCTTTGGAATGCTTGGCTGCATTTTATTCCCTACCCCATCCCCAGTAACTCTCCCTAATCCTAATCCCCCATAATTCCCCCCACTCTCCAGATGAGACACTTTGTCTACACTGGAGTCAGGAGGAGGACACTGTTCAATGGAAGATATAGCAGACTCAGGAAGCTGGGGAAGAGGGGGAGGGGGAGACACTACAGACACCCCACCTGACCAGGCCATGGCCACCCAGAGATGGACAATAAAGAGAAAGAGGAGTCAGGAGTCCAGGTGCATGGGATTCAATAAATAGGATGGGTGCTGGGCAACAAGAAAATGGTAGGAGAGCAGGGAGAGATCTTGGGAGAAGTATGAAAACATGGGGTTGTGCAAAAGGGTCCAGGAAGTGAGGTAACAAGGCACAATAATATTACATGATACATGACTATGGGGTGTAACGATAACATGAAGTTGGAAAATTGTAAACAAAACACAGAGACTTGCAGGAGAAATTGTGGGAGTAGTAAAGAACAAGGGATGGGAATGAAGGACCCAGAAACTAAGGGACCTGGGGAAGGAAGCAACATAATGGGGCAGACACCCTGGAAGGGGTGGGACCAGCCACTTCTCTGATCTCAGACCTCCTGCACCAACCTCAGGCCCCACCTTCTGCCACTCCCAGTCAATTCTGACCCCAGAGGGTGAGATCCTCTTCATTTGTAGCCCCTTCTTCCCCCTGGGGTTAGAGAACCCTCTCCCCCATAGTCCCTCCTGCCCCAGAAATAGACACTTTTCCTCCTTAAATTCTTACCTCATCCACTTGCTCCCCTCTGGGGGAGAGTTCGTATTTCCACTTCCACCCCAGAGAGAGAGTTAGCCCTCTTCTCCACAGCACTCACGATGACCGTCAAACTTGACTTTGAGGAGTGTCTAAAGGACTCCCCCCGATTCCGGTAAGTGTGTATGTATGTGTGTGTGTCGGGGTTAGTGTGAGGGACAGACAGGGCAAGGGGAAGATATCAAGTGATTTCCTGCACCCCTTTCTGAACATCCTACTTCATGAAAACAGGGCTGAAAAGGGAAGAGAATGGGGGCCAAAATGGGGGCTTCCCTGACTCTGACATTTCACCCTAGGGCCCCATATGTCTGTCTCTGCCTTCTCAATCTCCTTAACTGTCATTCTTCTCTCCTCTTGCTGAGCTCCCTTCCCCCATCACCTGCTTTCTGGGGTGGTTATGAATTTCCTGTCCTTACCACATCCACCCTTCTCTAGATCTTTCCTGCTATGGCCTTACCCTCTGTCTGCTAAAGCTAGGTTTCTCTCTAGCCTTTTCCAGACTCTGTAGAGAGCAAAGACTTCTTAGAGATCACCAAGCCCATAATCCCAATTTTTACAGAGCAGGAAACTGAGGCCCAGAGAGGGAAAATGATTCACTTAAAAGTCACACAGATAGTGAATAGCAGAGGCAAGATTCAAGTTCTCTGACTTCAGGTCTAGTCCCTTTCCACCTTGGTGTCATGTTCTTTTCTTGTCCATCCTTTCCTTCCTCCCTCTAGCATGTCTATGGTGGTAAGCAGAATGTGAGTTCAGGCCTTGAACTTCATGACCTATTCCTTCCTAGGGCTTCCATTGAGTTGGTCGAATCAGATGTATCAGAATTGGAGAATCGTCTGGAGAAGGTGATCACAGAGTCAGAAGAGAAGAAACTGAGTCAGAGGAAGGGGTTCCGGATAGAGGAGGGAGGATCTGGGGAAGAAGAGAAGTCAGTTTAACAAGTGTTCACTAAGTGCCTACCATATACATAGATAGCATCAAGCTCTAAGACTTTCAGGGTATTAAAATAAAAAAAATCTCACATTTCTATAGCTCTTTAAAATTTACAAAATCTTTCCCTTTTCAACATTATGAAGTAGTTTGGCATAATTATTATTATCCTCATTTTACAGATGGGGAAAATGAGGTATAGAGAGGTTAGGTCACTTGCCAAAGGTCACACAGGTAGCTCTAAGACTTAAACTCTTGGTTTTCCAGCTCTTACATCCAGTGTTCTTTCTTCAATTAAAGAAAAAAGTCTCTCTGTGCTCTGGGGAACTTTTTTGCTCTTTTAGGGGAATATAAGATTGGCACATGAAACTTAGAAAACAATAAGATGGTATCAGTGCTCTCTAGAAGTTCATACGAGGGGAGAGATCCCTATGGACCAGAGTGAACTGAGAAGGCTTCTTGGTGGAACCAAAGTTGGACTTTGAAAGGAAGACAGGGTTCTAGCACATGAAGATGAGTTGGAGACAGGATGAGGAGAAAATTAGAAAATGATGTGGACAAAAGCCAAGATCTCAGTGCACATGCAGAGACAGTGAGGAGCTTGGCCTAGTTGCCACATCATGGGAGATATAGGGTGATTGATGAGATCTGAGGGAAGATGATCTAGAGGAGGCACACTTGGGGAGGGAGGAAGGTGAAGAAGCATAGCCTAAAGGTGTCTCCAGATCAGAAAACAGATTTTGGGGGCCCTGAATTGGCCCCTTATGATCTATTTTTTCCTCACTCCCCAGCTCCTCAAGCTCGGTTCTAGCCTATTGGAAAGTGGGCGCCATTATCTTGCTACTTGTCGAGCCTTCATCAGTGGCATTCAAGAACTGTCGAACCTGGGTCCTCGAGAGCCCATGATGGTTGTAAGTCCCAGAGAACGGGGCATTAGAAGGGAAGGAGGAAGGGAAAACCTAGAACTGTAGTTTAGAGTTTCTTTTCAAAGACAAAATTCTCATGGGAGCAGAAGGGGTGGAGTAAGGTTAGAAAAACCAAAGAAATGGGTAGTAGAGGCTTCTTAAAATGGGAAAACAGCAAGAGAGGAATCAAGTAGTTAGGGAATGAAGGAAGACTTAAAAGAAAAAAGGAGAGAGAGTAGTCTAACCAAGATACAGAGTTTATTTAAGGAATGAGGTTTTGGGGAATGATGAACACGATGAATATAATATCCCAGAACTGTAAATCTTACAAGCTGAAAGGCACCTCAGAGGCTAGGGCAGAGTTTTCTCTATTAACTTAACCACACATCACTTTGGAATTGGAAGTATACTGATAGAACCAATAATGGTAGATAATCTCACCTTGGGGTCAAATGGAAGTTTGGGGACAAAATAGGGGAGGAAAGCCAAAAATTGCCATATCCAAATGTTTGATGCAGACATTTCATATTTAACATGTTAGTGGAAAAAATGTTAGCAGTAGCATTTCCTTAAGGAGGAACTCCAGTGTTCTTCAGAATACAATTTGAAAAATGCTAATCAAATTCCACTCCCCTCTTACACACAAACTTATTAAATTTGGAGATAAAGGGCAAAAGTCAGGGGCAGAGTGTTGGTGTCAAGTTCTAGGGATGTACCTCACTGGAATCTCACTTACCTTACTTTCCTTTAGGAATGCCTGAACAAATTTACAGAGAGCCTGAGTCACAAAATCAATTGCCATGAAGTGAGTGGAGTAGGATGGGGGTGGGGGGTGGGGGGTGGGGGGTGGGGGAGGGACACAGGGGAAAAAAATCTCTTTTTTTAAAAGGCAGTGTTTCAGGCTCTAATCACCTGCTTTCTACCAGGACCTCTTGAATGCCACCCAACAAACACTGAAGCAACAGATCCAGAGTTTTGTGAAGGAGTAAGGTTTTGTTTTTGTTTTTGTTTTTTTTTTAAATATCTGGAGCCATGCTAAGTCTTCTCATTCCCCTAGTACCCTGTCTCCTTTTCCCCTAACTCCTCAGGGACATCTCCTCTTTGAAAGAAGACTCAAGAACCTCCAAAAATTAGAGGAAGGGAAGCATTACAGAGCCCTATATTCTCCCCATTTTTAGCTTCCAAAACTAGATATCATTTATCATATAGCCTCCACACATAGCCCCAAATTTTGAAGGAGATAAGACCTCCTCTATCTCTAATCATATCTCAGAAGCCTCATGTTTAGAAATGTGTCATATGAGTTTGGGAGTGTGTGAAGAGGGCTCTTCTAACCTTAATGTACATCATAATTTCTTTTGAGGGGTTGCAGTAAGAGTTTTTGATCCTTTATTTCTCTCTTAGGAGTCTCCGTAGTTTTTGGGAAGCCAAAAGAGAGTTTTGGAAAGGGGCAGAGTCCCTGGAGGCAGCTCTCAGTCACAATGCCGAAGTCCCCCGGCGCCGGGCACATGAAGCAGAAGAAGCAATGTCTACACTGAAGTCCGTCAGAGCAGGCTACCAAGGGCGGGCATTGGACTATGTATTGCAGGTGACACTCTGTCCTTCCCCTTCTCCCACCAATGTGATTGGGGATTAGCAGAGCTGCAGTTCCCTTCCAGTGTTCTATAGTAGGTGGTTGAGAATGGGAGAGGCAGGAATAACGTTGAAGATATGAGGACTAAGAGGAGTCATATCCCATGGGCATAAGTTTACTCAATTGAGGAGGTTGAGTTTCTTAGAGACATTCTGGCTCTTACATTCTCTGATTCTGTACTTGTGGGATGGTTCTGGGGATTAGAGAATCTTTGCTCTACCTCCTCCCTATTCCCCACCCCACCCCCCATCCCCACACTCATCCTGCCTCCACCCAAGTGCTCTTGAGTTGTCTGGAGGATTGGCCTTATCTCTGTGTTCCTCAGATCAATGTGATCCAGGACAAGAGGAAGTTTGACATCATGGAGTTTGTAAGTTGGGGCAGTAGGGCTTTGGGAAGGTGGAGGTGGGATAGAAGGGGAACGAATAGTTGAAAGATTGAGGCAAACTCATTCTGTGTGAGAACCAACATTCTGATAGAGAATAGCAACAAAACAATGAAAAATGGAGACAGAAAAAAAGCAAAGAGCTGTCAACACATACCAGGCTCTCCTTTCCTCCTAGCCCCCTGCATCCCTGTATCAGGGACCTAGTGATACAAACATATCTTTTCCTGATCTTGTGATTCAGAGTTGTCATTGACCAAATCTTTGGCATTTTTTTTGCCTAACACTCAGGCAACTTCCAGCACAATATAGCATGCAAAAAAAGCATTCCACTGGACACTTACAACATAGAGGATTGAAGACAGAGACAGGGAAAAGCCACCCAGGTAAATAAAATCCACAGAACTATACTGCTCCATAAAGAATTACCATTTAGCTCTCCTACCTCTTCTCAATATAATTGGCTTTTGTATGAAGATCGGTTTAGGGAACACCAACTCAAGATGTTCACTCTCCATGTTTTGTAAGCCATCTACAGACAACATCAGAGTAGAAAAGAGGTTAGTGCCTTCATTAGGGCTAGTGGTAGGAAGCTATTGCCTTCCTGTCCCCACAACTCAACTGCTATGATTCCTTGATTATTGTGCATTTCCTTCCTTCACCCACCCTTTCAAGGTACTTCGATTGGTGGAAGCTCAGGCAATATACTTCCAGCTGGGTCATGAAGAACTGAATGGGCTAGGAGTCTACCACAAAGAGCTGGCAGCCCAGGTGAGGGATGCCTGGGGTGGTACTTGAAGGTAGGGTTAAGAAATTGAAGGTGGGGGAAGTTTTTTTAGGGGTTGGGAGGGAGAAGTTTCAAGGGCAAATGTAAGAGGCTGCAGTGTGGGTGGAGGAACATGTATAAAAGTAACTGACACAAGAGAAGTGTATATTAGAGACTTTTGTCAGGCTGCAATGGGTGAGGTCTTCCTTCCAGCCTTTCTCCCTTCCTCATGTACACTTTGTCCCCACTCCCCAGGGATGATGGGAGGTTGGTGACTACATCCATGATTCCTCTCTACCCTTTACTTCCAGTTGCACAAGCTTGTCCTGGAGTCTGCACGGGAAAAAAGAGACATGGAGCAGAGACATGTGCTGCTGAAGGAGCAGGTGAGGAGTGGTGGAATGGGGGTGGGAAAGTTTCTGTTCTCTGACTACCACTGGCCCATCATCCTGTACTTTGTTTGGTCTCTCTAGGAGCTGAGTGGAGAGGAACCTGAACCAGGCTTGAAGGAAGGCCCAGGGGGGCTAGTGATGGAAGGACACCTCTTCAAAAGGGCCAGTAATGCTTTCAAGACATGGAGCAGGTGAGGTCACTGCTGCCCCTTCCCTTCCTGAATTCTACACTAAACTTTCCCACTGACTCACTCTGACTTTTGGCCAGTCATTATCCCTCTTTGATCCTCAGTTTCCTCCTCTATAGAATAAGGGATTTAGATTAGTGATCTCTAAGGGCCTCTCCAGTTCTGATTCTTTGATTTTTACTTTATTGGAGTGATTTCACCCATGCCATGCCTAATTCCTCTCATTGTGGAGGCAGGTGGTTGTCCCCCTACCACTCTTTTCTTCCGCATGTATTTCCACATGCCCCTTTAAGCCCTTTGTTCAGCTATATCAAGTTATGAAAAACAATCTCATGTTCCCCCACTTATCTAGTTCCCCTAGTTTCTTCCCACTTTTGTCCATCCCACCCACTCCATCTCATTCTAAGTTCCCCATCCTAGACGCTGGTTCACCATTCAGAACAACCAGCTGGTTTATCAGAAGAAATACAAGGTGAGTAGCAGTGTTTGGGGGCCTAAAACACACAGGGGTCCCTGAAAGGGGTAGAGACTGATGGGTAGCAATTGGCTAAATGTCTGAGTCCTTGGCATCAGGGTGGGCAGGAGGGATGGCTGGCAGACAGATACCTTTACATCCCTTAGGATCCTATGACTGTGGTTGTGGATGATCTTCGACTGTGCACAGTGAAACTCTGCCCTGACTCTGAAAGAAGATTCTGCTTTGAAGTTGTCTCCCCCAGCAAGTGAGCGAGAGAGGGATGGAGTGGGGTGGGGAGGAGAGGATAGGGAGAGGACCTGTCCTTCATCATCCGTTTCAGCCCCACGGGCCTCTAATGTACTCATTCATCAGTTACTTGTGTGCATGCTCCCTTCCCACATCTCCCTCCCCATTGCCTGAGTCTTGAATTTTTGATTCTTGATACTTACTAGTGATGTGGCCTTCAGCTTCCTCTAAGGTAAAGGAGATAATATTTGTGCTGTTTACTTCATGGGAGTGCTGTATGAAGAGTCCTTTGTAAACACAAACTAACTCTCTAAATTTGGGGTGGTATCATCTCCATGGGCAGCTAGGTGGCCCAGTAGATAGAGTGCCAGGCCTGGAGTCAGGAAGACCTGAGTTCAAATCCAGCCTCAGACACTTAATAGCTGGGTGACCCTGGGCAAGTCACTTCATCCTGTTTGCCTCAGTTTCCTCATCTGCAAAATGAACTGGAGAAGGGAATGGCAAACCACTCTGGTATCTTTGCCAAGAAAACTCCAAACGAGGTCATAACAACAACAATCATTCCCATGTCTGTCTATTGCCTCTGTGTCCTGCCCCTGTGACTTTGTTCCTTGCCTCCCTAGGTCTTGCCTCCTCCAGGCAGACTCAGAGCAGCTTCTTCAGTTGTGGGTCAGTGCTGTGCAGAGCAGCATCGCCACTGCCTTCAGCCAGGCCCGGGAGGAGAAGGGCTCTCTAGATCAGGTGGGTGAGCAGGGACATGGCCATGAAGGGAAACATGGTATTACGCAATAGGTTAAAAATAGACAAAAACGAAAACCACTGGATTCCGAGTTAGAGGATCCAGAGTTGAATCCCAACTCCTACCACTTAATAGCCATGCGACATTCAGCAAGTTAATTCCTCCAGCCCTCTGTTGCCTCCTCTATAAAGTAGAAACGCATCCTACTATCTGATACCTGATTTTCAACTTGTAGCCCCTCCCAGAAAGCTGCACCAGGCTTCAGGCAATCTGTGGGTGCAGCATCACCTCAAAATGGAAGCTCATGGACCTTTAGCAACGTGTTTCCTTTTATTGGGCCAACCAGAAAGGACTAGTTCAAAGCAAAAGACATTTAATCCATCAGCTAGGTGGTGCAATGGATAGAGTGCTGGGCCTGGAGTCAGGCAGACTCATCTTCCTGACTTCAGATCTGGCCTCAGGCACTAGCTGGGTGACCCTGAGCAAGTCACTTCACCCTATTTGCCTCAGTTTCCTCATCTGTGAAATGAGCTGGAGAAGGAAATGGCACCAGTATCTTTGCCAAGAAAACCCCAAATGGGATTATGAAGAATCAGACACAAGACAAATCAAGCGACAAGAACTCCCCAAACCCCTCTCCAATGCAGACAGGGCTAGATTGTGTTACATTTCACGTCTAATGAGGAGCTGCCTGTGTCTTAAGGCTGTTAGAAACATGCTATTCTGCTGGCACCTCTGATGACCTTCCATTAGTCACCGTCTTGGGCCATCTACTTCTCTTTGTTACCATCTGCTGGATTATATGTGACTACTGAGTTTCTTTGAATCAGGAATTTGAGGATATGATGAACGAGACTTTTAGGCTAGACAGGGGTGGGGAACCTGCAGCCTAGAGGTCACATATGGCCCTCTGGTCCTCTAGTACAGCCCCTTGACCAAATCCAAACTTCACAGAACAAATCCCCTTAATAAAAGGATTTGTTCTGTAAAACTTGAACTCTGTCAAAAAGCCTCACCCAAGGACTTAGAAGGCCATTTGTGGCCTCGAGGGCAGGTTCCCCACCCCTGAGCTGAGATTAAGTTTATTCTTTGAACTGACTCAGTTCCTCAGTCCCCTCCTCCCGTTCTCTTGGTTTTATCTGATTGCTTGCTAAGTGTAAATCTGGTCAGAGAGCCTTTTTAGTTCTTAATCATACCTGGGCCCAGCAGATATTCCCATGGCTCTTTCACCTACCCCTTCTCCCTGCTACCCTCCATGTCCTTGGTGTTCTATACAATTCACAGGGATTGTGATCATTATCGTCTGTTGATCATTGCCTTGCTATTCTGTGTTCTGGTCAGCACAAGAGCGATCTTTGGTCTCCACACACTCTAGATTTAAAGTCTCCTATTGTTCTGTCTCACATGAAAACATTTTGTAAACCTTAAAGTCTATGTAAATGTGAGTCATTGTTATTCATCTAGGGCTTGGAGAGACTGTGAGGGAAGTAGGGGGAGTCTGACTGGTCTTAATCTTTTAATTAGTCATAAACCCTTCTAGTGTTTTGTGGGGTTTCCTCTGATGTATCTTTTTCCTGCAGGGCCCTTCTCACTCAGCCTCAGGCTTAGCCTCTACTTTGGCTTGTGGAGGAGCATCCAGAGGGACAGGCCGAGGGTCCAGTGTGACAGGACGTGTGGCAGCTCAGGTACAAAGTGTGGAGGGGAATGCCCAGTGCTGTGATTGCCGGGAACCTGCACCAGAGTGGGCAAGCATCAATCTTGGCGTGACCCTCTGCATCCAGTGCTCAGGAATCCACAGGTCACAACCCTTATCTCCCAACATTTTATCTCTAGAATATCTCCCCTGGACTTCCTTCTTCCATATCCCCTCCTTACCCTTAATACATCTCCTGTTTCTCTATACTAGAGAAGATCCTGCTTACCTGGCTCCCAAATCCCTTATACAAACCCTTTGGAACCCTTTCGACACCCGCTTAGTCTATTAGACCCATGACCTTCATCACTCCCTAGGGTCATGAAACCTTGGGATGCCAAAGGTAGAAAGAACCTCTGAGATCTTCTAGCCCACAATTCCCCAAATCAATTTGGCTGCAGAATGATTGGAGAACTTGAAATCTCTTGGCAGAATTCATAAATGCTGGTCTGGTTGGAAGTATTTGAGAGTTTGGACTATAACAGAGCTGAAGAGAAGAGGTTTAGGAAATGGTGAAACAAAAAAGAGGCTATTGAGCCCTCTTTTTTTTTCCAACAAAAAAATGGCTACATGTAAAAATGTGTTAGATACAGGAATTTCACATTTAATATTTTCAAGGGAAAAGATCACTGGCGTAGACATATTTACACAGAGCTCTCATTCACATCACAGAGAACACCAGCATTCCAAAGAACACAAGGAAATGCTGATCTTGTCCAACCCCCTCATTTTACAGTGGAAGAAATTGAGGCCCAGAGATGCCTTCCTCATATTCCAACCCCTCCTGTCTATTCATTTTCCTACTAGGGCTTAGTGCTTCCCACCCCCGCCCCCTTTCATCAAAGCCCCACTTTTCCCTCCTCTGACTTTCAGTCTTCTCCTTCTTCCCTTCCTCTGTATCTCTTCTCCAGACCGAGGGCTGGAGGCAGGAAGGTTCTTATTAAACTGGGTCATTAGCTAAACAGGAGCCACATCCCTCACTGGGTATGAGTCTGAGGGAACAAAGAAAGGAAAATGGTGACTGGAAAGGAGTTAAGTCCTCCTAGAATGGAGAGGAGAAAAATGAAGAGAAAAATGTGAAATGAAATAATAACAGCATTTAATGAGGGTTAGCTTCTCAAGTCCTAGTTTGGCCACCATCCTTCTTGCTCTCAGATCAATTCACCCGACTTTGCTCACAGGCCTGCTAAGTGCAAAAAGCTCAAGGTTGGGTGCTAAGAGGAGACTTGAAGAGGAGGAAAAGAGTCTCTGCCCCTGAGGATCTTATAGCAGTAACACCATAAAGGGATATACTTCGTGATTTTCCCATTTTCAAAGCTAGAGTAGTCTTTTCCTAATAATTTCCCAATACAAGACACAGAGGCCCTAGCAGCAAGGTTTGGAGGAGGTTTAATCTCCATAGTCTATCATATCCCAAGAGGCTCAGGTTTAAAAATGCATAATAAAAGTTTAGCAGTGTCTGAACATACAGTTCACTGGGTTGTTGATCTAATCCCATCAGGAAGCCACAGAAAATTGGATGACAGTACCTTGGTCTCTGTATCTCCTTAGCTTGAACTTTCTTGACTGGGGGGTGTATGTGTGCGCTCAAATACTTCTTTCTCCCCTTTCTTCATGAACTCTCTACACCAAATCTGTTCCCTCAAACCTACAACAACCCTGATTGGTCTTGTCCTTTACTTGTCCCTCCTCTACAGGAGCCTAGGGGTTCATTTCTCCAAAGTCCGATCTCTGACCCTTGATTCCTGGGAGCCTGAACTGGTGAAGGTGATTACAATACAGCTAGAAAAGAGTTGGGGTGTTAGTGGGGTGACAAGCAGATGGACAGGAAAGCTTTCAGGAGCTTGGAGTATGTGGGTGGGTGAGGGTGCTGGAGAGTCTTGTCTGTAATTTCATGCCTACTCTCACACTATCTCCACCATTCCTTGAAGCTGATGTGTGAGTTGGGAAATGTTGTCATCAACCAGATCTATGAAGCTCGAATACAGGACATGTCTGTGAAGAAACCTGGACCAACTTGTTCCCGGTAAGGGGTTGGAGGGTGGGGGGCAGTGAAGATAGGAAGGGAATAAGCAGACATAAGAAACAGAGTTTTAGTTGCCTGGGTTTTCCTGGGGCTGGGGGAAAACTGACATACTGGTTTGGAAGGAAGAAGGATCCTAAGAAAGGAAGACATTTGAGAAGATTAGGAGCCCTAGGATTGCAGGAGGAAATTATCCTGTTTTTATCCTTCCCTCTTCCATTATACTTCCCCCCAACCCCCATAAGGCAGGAGAAGGAGGCATGGATTCATGCCAAATACGTGGAGAAGAAATTTCTGACCAAGCTGCCTGTGGTCAGAGGACGAAAAGTGGGGCGAGGCCACCCACGAGGGCAGCCTCCATTGCCCCCTAAACCCCAGCTTCCACCCCGGCCAGGGAACATGGGGGCCAAACCAGGTATGTATACACATCAACCAGAAGGGATTTTTAGATCTTCTTGGGGAGACATTTCAAACTGTTGCTATGGGCACTATAAGGAGACTACTGTAGTAATGCTCAGTCCCTAACCTTGATGATCTAAATAGGGGCAATGAGATTTTAACGCCAAAACAATGGGGGAAAGTTCAAAACTGTAACAGAGTTATGTTGTATGTCCTAGACTGTAAAGACTAGAGACCCTACTCAGAGGAGGGAGGTACTGTATTGTAGGCCTGAATAATAAGGGAGGACATGTGGAAGAGGCTGTGTTGGGTTGGGATTGGGAGGATGAAAAGGATTCGGAGACAAAAAGAGTAGGCTGGAGGTATGGGGAAGATGTTTCAAGCAGAATTGGTGAAAGCAAAGGCAGAGGAGTAGGCATAGTCCCTTACCCTTCTAAACTCAAGAGACCAGCCTCACTGGATCAGGATGATATTGGGGGCAGAAGAAGATAAGGTTGGAGAGGTTGTCAGGGCCAGAATATCCTTAAAACTAGGTTAAGGAGTTAGGGTAGAACCATGCAATCCAACTCCCTGCCTCCATACCCAACCTTGTACACTGTTTACTAACCACAGTTTTAGAAGTTCTTTTGGAACTCTAAACACCCTCCCTCCTATTCCCCTAAGGGACTTAGACCCGGGCATCTGGACTGAGCTTCTGCCTCCCCTACTGTAATCCCCAGATTGGCTCCCAGTAATTTAGCCTGAATCTTCCTTCACACTTCGCTGTCATTTCTACATCGAGGGCTAGGGATGAGGGACACATCCCAACACTGGTTAATGGTTAAATCCCCAACAGCGCTCCCCTCTGGTGAATTGGGATGCTTACACCCTGGGGCCTTGCTATTCTGGGCAGCTGGGCCACCCCCATCTCTTCCCACCATGGCTGATGCCCTTGCCCATGGAGCTGATGTCAACTGGGTAAACGGGGCACAGGAAAATGCAACCCCACTCATCCAGGCCACATCTTCGGTGAGAAGCCCTTTGATTCCTATCCCTTTTGCTTGAACTCTCCCTTTCCCCCATTCCAACCCAATTTCATCTCTATCCTGATTGTCCTCTCCTCCCTGCCCCCCAATCCCATTCTTCTATTCAGATCCAGATGAAGTACAGTGGGAAAACATTGTGAATAGTAATAGTGTGAGTTAGGCAGAAGTGGGAGAGGGAATAAGCATTTATATAATATAGTACCTACTATGTACCAGGCACCGTGCTAAGCACTTTGCAAATATTATCTCATTTGAGTTCCACAAGAATCCTGGGGGGTAAGTGCTATTATTATCCCCATTTTACATATGAGGAAACTGAGGCAAATGGAGATTTTTTTTTTTTAAATGACTTTCCCAGATCATACAGCTAGTAAGTGTCTAAGGCCAGATTTGAACTCAGGTCTTCCTGACTCCACGCCTGGCACTCTTATCCGGTGTGCAGCTGCCTCAGGAAAGGGGAACAAGCAATTATTAAATGTCTACTGTGTGTTCTACACTGCACTAAATTTTATCTCATTTGCTCCTCATATCAACTCTGTGAGGTAGATGCTGTTATTATCCCTATTTTATAGTTGAGAAACATGACTTAGTCAAAGATGGATTAAGGTTTTCAGCCTGGTTACCTGGGAGGGATGTTGGTGCTATCAACAGTAATGGAAAAGTTGGGAGAAGATTTTGGGAGGAGATGCTAAGTTCAGTTTCAAAATGCTGAGTTTAGGTGTTCCTGGGACAGCCAGGTGAGTTGCCCCACCAACGGACAATTGTCGATATATAAGTCTGAAATTTAAGGGAGAAATAAGTAATGGCTGGATGTGTGGCTTTGGGAGTGTTTCCTGCAGAGGTGATCATTAAAGCCTTGAGAACTTCAACGTGGAACATAGAGAGAAAAGAGGCATAACCTTGGGGAACACTCAAGGGAACAGCAGAGGCAGGAAGAGGTTAAACCAGTGAAGAAGGCCAAGAAGGTGTGGTCAAGAGGAGATGCCAGTGTCCTGGAAGCCCTGGGTGGGCAGAGGGGATAATTAAGTGTTGACTGCTGCAGAGAGGTCAAGGAGGATGAAAACTGAGAGAAGACAGAGAAGGTTTAGCAATTAAGATAGCACTCACTGGTAACTTCAGAGAACAGTTTGAATTGTATGGTTAGAAGTCAGGTTATCAGAGGCTGAGGAGAGGAAGTAAAGGCAGGAAGTGCAGCTGCTTGGTTTTTTGCTTTTGACAAATTTTGTTTCAACACGTGGTGCATTACCTTGGTTGCTCATAATGTATGATCCCTGAAAACAGCTAAAAAAACAGTATCAAAGGATGATTGCTCCTGCCCAACATATGCAGTTAATAATTTTAACCCTTTGTTACAACAAATGAGTGAATACTTTGTAAATTAGTGCCAATATTATCTAGTATTTTTGAACATTTCATTTAAATAGTTGCAAATTAAATAGTTAATTTCATTTAAATAGTTTTAAATATTTTATTTAAATAATAATGGTGCCTATGGTTCTTTTGGATTTGCTTTGTCTACTCTGTGTCACCTGGATTAGTCATATTCAGTTTTCCTTATGATTCAGTAACACACTATTGTATTCAAATACTCTGACATGTTGAACCCTTCCCCAATTATTGGGTTCATAGTTTGTTTCCAAGCTATGCTATCACAAGTAGTGCTGCTCCGAATAGTTTCATAGAGATTCGTATTTTCTTGTCAACAGCCTCCTTATAAAGCCAGTGGCAAGATCACTGACTGAATCAGAGAATTTGAACAATTTTGTTAATTTTTCTTGCTTTCTCTAAATTGTTTTCCAAAATAGTTGGACTAATTTTCACAGACCCACCAGCAATCAAGTAATATGCGTGCTTTCCCAAGTCCCTGTAAACACTGAATTTTTCCATATCTCTGATAATCTTTGTTTCATGGGTATGTGGTAATACCGTGGGCTGTCATATCAGATACCTCCAGGTAAAACAGCCTCCTTCGTCCCCTCTTCCCTGTTGTTTTAATTTGCATTTGTCCACTTATCATCAATGTTGGAGATATTTTAAAATTTAATTTTTTCAATTAAAAGTCTATTTTCTTTCCCTTCCACCACTCCCCCTATTGATAGAAAAAGAAAATAAAAAATAAAAACCCTTGTAATGAATATGTTTAGTCAAAAAAAAATTTCCTAAATTGTGATGTCCAAAAAATTTATGTCTTGAATCTGCATTCTGAATCCATCCCTTCTTTTAGGAGGTGAGTGGCGTGTTTCATCATAAGTCCTCATCATGAGGCATCATGGTTGATCAGAGTTCCTTAGTCTTTCAAAGTTATTTGTCTTTACAATGTTATTATATAAATTATTATCCAGATTCTGCTCACTTCACATTGCAATCATTTCAGACAAGTCTTCTCAAGTTTCTCTGAAGCCATTCCCTTCAATCGTTTCTTATAGCACAATAGTATTTTATTACATTTTACATCATAATTTGTTCAGCCATTTCCCAATTGATGGGTGGGGTACCCTCTCAGTTCCCAGTTTCTTGTCATCACAAAAAAGAGCTGCTATAAATATTTTTTCATACATATGGGTCCTTTTCCTCTTCCTTTGATCTCTTTGGGGTAATGTTCAAAACTTTCGGATGGTTATTGTTTGCATTTCTTCTTTTAAATGCTGCTTGTTAATATTCTTTGACCAGTTGACTGGAGAGTGGCTCTTGTAGATTTGTATCAATTCCATTTGGATTTTGGATGTTGGACTTTGTCAGAAATGTTTGTGTAAAGATTTTTTTTCCCATCCATACATTTTCTTACTCTAGCTGGGTATATTTAATTTGTGCAAAAGCCATATTTATATAATCCAAGGAGTGGAAAGACAGAGTCAAGAAGATCTGAGTTCAAGTCCCAACTGTCACATACTGACTGTGTGACTCTAGGCAAGTCACATAACCTCTCAGTGTCCCTGAGATTCTCTAAGACTAAATTCATTTCATCCAGTGTACATTTATCAAGTACCTACTTTGTTCCATGGACTATACAAGGTCCAAGGTATGCAAAAAAAATAAAAATGAAAAAGTCCCTGCCCTCAAAGAGTTCTATTCTATTCTGACTGGGGTCAAAGGAGAGGAGAATTGATCTTGGCCAGACACAGGGATTGTTAAGTGGAGCCACGTGGCAATAGATAGTCTTGCTCTTTCCAGTAGCAAAGGTGATATTGACTTGATCATGGTTACCAGACCAAGAGGTAGAAAATTGTGGGAAAGGGCAAGGCAGATTCCTCCAACACTTAGTGGCAGGGCAGATGGCAAAATGGATATACTAGCTTGTCATTGTGTCCTGATGGATGGCTTGCTGGGATGAAGTATGGTCCAGGGCTGGCTGGATATAGAGGGCTGAGATGAAGATTTACCAATCTAGGGCAGATACCAAAGCAAATGTCAAAATGTAATAGATTACTCCCCATGAGGTCTGGGGAAGCAGGGTGCCTGGAAGTTAGGGGGAGAGGGGACAGTGGGTGACAAACGGCAAGATGTTCATGCTGTCTATGTTTTGGGATGTTGAAGAACAGTAACAGATATGCTAGAGGAGGGAGGGATTTCTTCATCAGAAGTTCCTCACACCTGAATGAAATCACAGATAGACAAAAAAAAAAATATTCTTGTCTCTGTTGCATCTGTCGATCCATTCTTTGTTCACAATTGTGAGAAAAGACAACTTTTCCATCTTTTTTAACTTTTTAATGGTGTAAATTTTTATAAACCTGAACCTGTAGTCTCTTACCTCTTCACCTAAGGGATAGAGATATGCTTCCTTTTCTTTTCTCTGGGTCCAAAATTGTTCATTAAAGTCAATCAGGTTAGCAATATTTTAAATTTCTCATTTTTATTTCTTTGGCAAATTTGTCAGCATAGTGCTACATTTTTAATCAATGAGCTGGATAAAGGCATAGATAGCATGCTCAAATCTTTGAATGACACATTTCCGGAAAGGATGGCCCAACATCATGCATGACAGTCAGGAACCAAAACACTCTTGACATACTAGAGCTTTGGACTGAATCGAATAAGGCAAAATTCAATAGAGAAAAATGTAAAATCTTACTCTTGAGTAAAAAAAAAATCAGCTTCCCAAATATAGAGTGGGGGAGGTATGATAAGAAGTTCTTTTTTTTTTAATTTTTTGTTACATTTGGGTTCCAAGCTATTTCCCTCCTCTCCCAACCCCACACTAGAGAAGGCCAACATGACATATATATATATATATGTGCGAAACTATACAACACATAGTTCTTATATCGGTTCTTTCTCTGGAGATGATGGATAGCATCTTCCTTCATAGGTCATTTGTAGTTAATTTGAATATTCATATAACTCAGAATAGCTTGGTCATTCACATTTACTATTTAAACAATATTATTGCTATATACAATGTCCTCTTGGTTCTGTTCATTTCACAATTTCATTATTTCATTCAAGACTTTCCATGTTTTCCTAAAATCAAACCTGCTCAGCATTTCTTACAGCACAGCAGTATTCCATCACAATCATATACCACAATTTGTTTAGCCATCCCCAATTGATGGGCATTCCCTCAATTTCCAGTTCCTTGCCACTACAAAGAGCTATTATAAGTATTTTAGAACATATAGGTTCTTTTTCTTTTTCTGCTGACCACCTTGGGAAACAGACCTAATAACACTATTGCTAGGTCAAAGGGTATATGAAGTTTTATAACTCTGGGCATAATTCCAGATTGCTCTCCAAACTGGCTGGATCAGTTCACAGTTCCAGTAGTGTATTAGTGTCCCAATTTTTCCACATCCCCTCCAACATTTGTCATTTCCCCTTTGTATCATTTTGGCCAATCTGCTAGGTATGAGATGGTATCTCAAAGTTGTTTTATTTTGCATTTCTCTAATCAAAAACAATTTAGAGCATTTTTTTCTTAGAAAGCTCACTTATGGCCTGTTCAATTTCTTTTTCTAAAATAGGTTTATTTAGATATTCTATTTC